GTTGTAAAGAACTTTTATTTATTTATTAATAAAAAATAAATCAAATGTATCTTGTAGAAAATATTTTATGAAAAAAAAAAGTTGTTACACGAAATTTACTTGGTCTCAATTTCTTAAGTATATAACAAATTCGGAATTTTCAAAATGCTAAGGCTCACCAATTTTCAGTTTTAAAAAAAACCAGACGATAAGTTTTGAAGCTTGAGTCATGAACAATAAAACTTATCGGTTAAATTTTTTAAAACGATATAATTTTTTTTTGTTTTAGTATTTTGAAGTTGACCAATTGTTACCATAAGCAATTAATGATTATAGATGATCTGTACCGTAATAATAAAACAGATTCCACGCGATCGACACGTCTGGCCCACTTCATCAAGCAACCTCGTAGCTCTGCTTTATTTCTTATATATAGTCATCCATCTTTTCCGATTCTCTTTTATTACAACAATAACACCTTCTACAACTTAAAAATTCCAATGGAATATTTCTTGAAATAGAATTGATATCACTTAATCAAATTTATAAAATGAATCAAGAATTTCCATATTTCCTCGGCATTAAGCACTTTACATACTAAACGGGCAACAAAACCAGACGAAGTGAACATGACACATTTTTAAATGCCACAATTGCAGAATTGCATTATCAATTTAACGTGATTGTGTCTCTTCCAAATAATTTATAGATTCATTCATAATTAACTTTGGTCAGAAACTTATTATATATTAACTATAATGGCTATTTTTGTTTGATATAACCACCAACTGTCATAAGGATCAATCAAAATATTTACATTGACTATAATAACAATTGAAAAAATTTCTATTAATGTGATTTCTAGCATTTAATTTTAAGATGAATGAATTTATTGTATTGTTTTACAATTATTGAGGCACGCCTAATTTATTTTGTATTTTGTAATAAAAATAGTAAAAAATCACTTTTTAACTAAACAACTTTTTTTCTATATTAAAAAAAACTTTTAGTAATGTTGTGCGTGAAAATGAAATCTATGTGAATTTGCAATTCACGCCAATCAGAATTTCATATCCTTGAAAAAAACATTAATCAGTATCTTAATGATTATTTAACAATCCTAGTATAAAATTTTTTTAATCAATCAATTACCTTTTTTACTAATGACTAATCTCATTCTGATTAATGGCCATTCAATTTCATCACAGGTTTGTTCTATAAATTCAAGCAATATAACACAATTAATATTACTAGCTCTTAAATTAACAATAGCAAAAATTGGTGTTTGTGATTCATCTAACTTTAAATCAATATCGCCAGTATCACAACTTCCCAGAGCAGATAATATATCATGTCCAAACTCTGGAACCATATCAAAATCTGAGATTTCCCTTTCCAGTTTGACCAACATATTAACAATTATCTTTGTTAAAGAAACATTATCAATTGCACGTTCTTTACATAAAATTCTAAGCCATGTGATCAATTGCTCTCGATGTCCTTTAGATTGACTCTCATTGGAGTTAAACATAAAACATGATGATAGTAATGCTATTGTTTTACATAATTCTGATTCTTCTTTAATTAGTGGTGTTCGTTCACTTAATGACGTTATTACTAAAGACTATTCATTCAAATTAATTAATAAATTATATATTATTAATTATTTAAAAATATTAATTAAAGTTATATATATTGTTATTAATTCAAACTTTCCAATATATAAATCCAACCAATCATCCAGATTGTTAGGCTTTTTTCATTTTGATATTTCAGATGGATAAGACATTTCCAAGAAATCTATCAATCTCCCTGACCAACATTCTAATATTACTTTACATAATAATGTAAAACTTTCAATTGCTGTTGCAAGTATAGATTGATTCTAATTCTATGCATATACACAAAAATAGATGACAAGTTTTTGGTTTTTTATTTTTCATAAATAACGAATTAAAATCACAAAATAAAATTTTTTAGAAATACTTTATTATCGATTTGTAAATAATTGATATCTGCTTTGTTGTTTTAACAAATTCATTCATGAATACTTGAATCAATGATATGCAGTATTTTAATGTTGATTGATCTTCTGGATCAAATTTTGATGTAATCTGTTTTTTGTTAAAAAAAAATTATCATCATTAAATTAAATAATTTTTCAATAATAATAATAATTACCCGAGATGTTTTATTATGTGTAAAAGCAGTTATTATATATTTACAAAACCTGAATTTGATCTTAAAATTGCTCCAGCATGATTAGAAACTTGGCAATCTAAAGTATTAAACGTGAATTGAAAAAGTTCAACAATACATTTAAAACTCAGAATGGAATATTCTGTGACTGAGGCTACTATTTTTCGACCCAATAATGTAAATACTTGATTAACCTATCAATTGTCAATGGACCAATAAATAGTAATTATTTTAAAATATATATACCTCTAGCATTTATAGATTTTCTGTTTAGGATTATAAAAAGCTTCAAATATTTATTTAATAATCTTAATATCCAATTTGAAGTATCGTTGTTTTTTTTTAACATGAAAAAAAAAATTATTCAATTGATGCCTGAATATATTAAAAAAATAAAAATCAGTCTTAATTTAATTATTGAAACAAGATAATATATTTCAATAATAATATTATTATTACCTCATAACATCCAAGTAGTAAAGAAGCATACATGTTATTTTGCATGCCCACATCAGTTACCATTTTATAATCAGTATCTTCATTAATTTTAAACTAAATCATTCCTGAATAAGCAAATTTTTCAGCCAATAAATCCAACTTATTTGCGCATTCTGAAAGTTGAGATTCATCAAATCCTAAAATTTATTATAATTGTTATTTAATTAATGAACACAAAATTAAATTAATTAAATAGATAAAATAAATATTTCAAAGTTACTCATTATAGGTGACTTTAGATAATTGAAAACCTTGTGAAAAAACAAAATTAAAGTTTGCTCTTTTTGTGATGTTTATTTAATTAGTTTACTTCTAATATTATTACTTATTGAATCTTGAAATCTATGAATTCTTGCCATTGATAATAAGCAGTAAAGATTGAATGGAGCCAAAAGTGATGCTTTACTAGATTTCATATATCTAAGAGATTCATCACCTAATTCCTATATGACAATACAACGATAATAATAATAATAACATTATTATTATACTTTTATTTTAGCTTGAACAGAATTTTAAATAATTATTAATTATACTTGATCTTGTGTTATAACAAAGTTAACATGAATAATGATGATTCCCTCCATAATATTAAGTTGTGTATATGATATGGAATCCACAGAGTTATTTTGATTTTCACCACTGTCACATATAATAAAAGTATTATATTATTTATTTTATA